CCCACACAAAAGCAGGGAAATTAAACAACCTTCTGTTGAATGACATTGGGTGCAGGAAGAAATAAAGGAGGAAATCATTAACTTCCTTGAGCACAATAACAATGAAGACACAAGCTACCAAAACCTGTGGGATACTGCAAAAGCAGTTCTGAGAGGAAAATTTATCGCTTTAAGATGCCCACACTTGAAAAACAGAAGAGAGTGCATCAACAAACTCACAAGCCACCTTATGGAACTGGAAAAAGAAGAACAATCTAAGCCTAAACCCAGCAGAAGAAAATAAATATCCAAAATTAAATCAGAGATCAATGAAATTGAAAACAAAATAATCATTCAGAAAATTAATGAAACAAGAAGTTGGTTTTTTGAAAAAATAAATAAAATAGAAAACCTTTGGCCAGACTAACTAGAAATAGAAAAGTAAAACCTCTCGTAATCTCAATCAGAAATGGTAAAGGGGAAATAACAACTGATGCCACAGAGATACAAGAGATCATCTCTGAATACTACCAGAAACTCTATGGCCAGAAATTTGACAATGTAAAGGAAATGGATCAATATTTGGAATCACACTCTCTCCCTAGACTTAGCCAGGAAGAAATAGATCTCCTGAACAGATCAATTTCAAGCACTGAGATTAAAGAAACAATAAAAAATCTTCCAACCAAAAAATGCCCTGGTCCGGATGGCTTCACACCAGAATTCTATCAACCTCTCAAGGAAGAGCTTATTCTCATATTGCAGAAATTATTCCAAAAAATTGAGGAGGAAGGAATCTTCCACAACACATTCTACGAAGCAAACATCACCTTGATACCAAAACCAGGAAAAGACCCAACTAAAAAGAAGAATTTCAGACCAATTTCACTAATGAATATAGATGCAAAAATTCTCAACAAAATCCTAGCCATTAGATTGCAGTTTATCATCAAAAAAGTCATACATCATGATTAAGTAGGTTTTACCCCAGGGATGCAAGCTGATTTAATATATGCAAGTCCATAAACGTTATCCACCATATTAACAGAAGCAAAAAAAAAAAAAAAAGGCCATAGGGAGGGTGATTGGTGGGATCACGCCTATGGTTCATCCTATAAGGGTACATGTGAATCTTTCTAAATGTAGAATATAAATGTCTTAAAACAATAACTAAGAAAATGACATGAAGGCTATGTTAACCAGTTGGATAAAAGTATTTCAAATTGTATATAGAAACAGCACACTGCACCCCATGACAGTATTAATGACAGCTATTGTTTAATAATGAAAAAAGGCCATATGATGCTCTCAATAGATGTAGAAAAAGCATTCAATAAAATCCAGCATCCTTTTCTAATTAGAGCACTGAAGAGTATAGGTATATGTGGCACATTTCTGAAATTGATCTAAGCTATCTATGACAAACCCACAGCTAATATTTTACTAAATACTTTTCCTCTGAACTGGAAGCTTTTCATCTTAGAACTGGAACCAAACAAAGTTATCCTATGTCACCATTACTATTCAACATTGTGCTGGAAGTTCTAGCCAATACAATTAGGCAAGACAAGGAAATAAAGGGCATCCAAACGGAAGGAGAGGAGGTCAAACTCTCCCTCTTTGCTGACGATATGATCTTATACTTAGAGAACCCCAAACACTCAACCACAAGACTCCTGGAAGTCATCAAAAAATTCAGTAATGTCTCAGAATCAATGTCCACAAGTCAGTAGCCTTTGTATATGGCAATAACAGTCAAGATGAGAGGCTAAATAAGGACATAACTCCCTTCACCACAGCTTCAAAGAAAATGAAATACCTAGGAATATACCTAACAAAAGAGGTGAAGGACCTCTATAAAGAAAATTATAAAACCCTAATAAAGGAAATAGCAGAGGATATTAACAAATGGAAGAGCATACCATGCTCATGGCTGGGAAGAATCATCATTGTTAAAATGTCTACACTTCCCAAAGCAATCTACAGATTCTATGCTATCCCTATTAAAATACCAACATTGTACTTTTAAGAGTTGGAAAAAATGATTCTGCATTTTGTATGGAACCAGAAAAAACCCCATAAGAGCTAAGGCAGTTCTTCATAATAAAAACAAAGCCAGGGGCATCAGCATACCAGAATTTAGGCTGTACTACAAAACCATAGTGGTCAAGACAGCATGGTACTGGCATAAAAATAGAGACATAGACATTTGGAATTGAATAAAAACCAGGAAATGAAACTAACATCTTACAATCACCTAATCTTCAATAAACGAAACAAGAACAAACCTTGGGGAAAAAACTCCGTATTCAATAAATAGTACTGGGAGAACTGGATAGCCACATGTAAAAGACTGAAACTGGATCCACACTTTTCTCCACCCACTAAAAGTGATTCAAGATGGATAAAGGACTTAAATTTAAGGCATGAAACAATAAAAATCCTCGAAGGAAGCATAGAAAAAACACTGGAAGATATCGGCCTGGGGAAAGACTTCATGAAGAAGACTGCCATGGCAATTACAACAACAAAAAAAATAAACAAATGGGACTTTATTAAACTGAAAAGCTTCTGTACAGCTATGGAGATCACAACCAAAGCAAATAGACAACCTACACAATGGGAAAGGATATTTGCATATTTTGAATCAGACAAAAGCTTGATAACTAGGATCTATAGAGAACTTAAATTAATCCACATGAAAAAAGCCAACAATCTCATATATCAATGGGCAAGAGACATGTCTTCTCTAAAGAAGACAGATGAATGGCAAACAAACATATGTAAAAATGCTCAGCATCCCTAATTATTAGAGAAATGCAAATCAAAACCACCCTGAGATACCATGTAACTCCAGCAAGAATGGCCCACACCACAAAATCTCAAAACTGCAGATGCCGGCATGGATGTGGAGAGAAGGGAACACTTTTACACTGCTGGTGGGACTGCAAACTAATATAATCTTTTTGGAAGGAAGTATGGAGAACCCTCAAGGAACTCGAGCTAGAGGTCCCATTTGATCCTGCAATCCCATTATTGGGCATCTACCCAGAAGGAAAAAATCCTTTTATCATAAGGACACTTGCACTAGACTGTTTATTGCTGCTCAATTTACAATAGCCAAAATGTGGAAATAGCCTAAATACTCACTAACCCAGGAATGGATTAACAAGCTGTGGTATATGTACACCATTGAATACTATTCAGCCATTAAAAAAATGGAGACACAGGGCAGCACCTGTGGCTCAAGGAATAGGGTGCCATCCTAGTATACCAGGGGTGGCAGGTTCAAGCCTGGCCCCAGCCTAAACTGCAAAAAAAAAAAAAAAAAAAAAAAAAGGAGACAAGTAAATGAGGCAAAAGCTATGTTGATTGGTTTGATGTAAGCACACCAGATTGTATGAGAAAATCAACACATTGTACCCCACATATGCATAAATGTATTCATGATCTATGTGTATATGACTTAATAAAAATTAAATGGAGACTTTACAGCCTTTGTATTAACCTGAATGGAAGTGGAACACATTATTCTTAGTAAAGCATCACAAGAATGGAGAAGCATGAATCCTATCTATTCAATTTTGATATGAGGTCAATTAATGACAATTAGTCACATGGTGGGGGTGGCAGAAGGGGAGAGCAGAGAGAGAAAGAAAAGGAGGGGGAAGGAAGAGCAGAGAGAGGGGGTGGGGTCTTGGTGTGTGCCACACCTTTTGGGGGCAAGACACGATTATAAGAGGGACTTTACCTAACAAATGCAATCAGTGTAACCTGGTTTCTTGTACCCTCAATGAATCCCCAACAATAAAAAAAGAAAAAAATCTGCTCAAACATTTTTTTTTTCTGAGAAAGGAGAAAAAACTTTTAATCAAATTAGTAACAAACATAAGCTCATTTTTGGGCATTTTGTGACTTTGGTCCAAAAGGATTGCTCAGGGGATTATAGTGGAAGTCAGAGTGACCTTTGTTGCCTTTGATTTAGGACTGGGGGCAGTGTGGAGTCAGATGGAGGGGCTCCAGGGGAGAACTGGGGCTCATTCGGGCTTGCCCCACCATCATGTTGCTCGGATAAACATGAGCACATCGTGAGATGAGTGGCCCCTGATGTTTCAGGGACCTTCTGCACCATCATCTTAGGAGACTAGGACAGAAGCACAGAGAGGGTTACAGCCTCTTGGTGACCCTGCCTTCAATGATCACATTCCAGCTTGGTTTGCGCCTTCCTTCCATCCTCCAGAACACTTGGTGGGCAGTGGGATATGGCTGTCCACAGTGCTATCTCAAGCTGGATGGGCTTTTGTGGGGGCTGATGGCTAGCGCTGGACTGTCACCTCTCACAGTAAACTATCAATGAAAAATTGCAGCTCTTCTTCCAAGGTCCTCTGTTAGCCTCTCTCTGGTGTTAACCAGATCAGCCCTCTGACGCAGGATGATGGTGCTGTCAGCTAAACAATTTGACAAGAATTATGGGTTCTTCCTCCCTTATCTCTGGGTGGTACAGGCAGGGGCCTAGGTAACAGAAAAGCTCCTGGGCTCACATGACATGGTGTACAGACCATGCTTTGGTCCATAATGATTATGACTCATGACGACTAATTTATCAAACACCTTAAGGCGGAGTTGCAAAAAGCACGTGCTGATACACAAATGTTTATTGTTAGAAAGGATGATTTGGCTTAAACAGCTTGGGTGTCAGTCCCCTCCCCCTCTCAAGGGCGCAGTAAGAAAACCAAAATTCACTGCTGTGACCCTCAAAAGACCAGACAAATGCATCCCAACAAAGTGGCTGCAGCAGCAGCTAGCACAAGCTAAAGAAAACACAAATGTATTCAGGGAAAACTGGACCCAACAAAATGGCTATTTCTGCCTCTGTCCTCTACTTAGCATAACACTCCCAAACTCAGCAAACAGATTTTCTTCCAGCACATTGGACTGCAAATTTCAATGCAGCTCCTAGGAGAGAAATCTATTGACTGCATTTCTGGGTTTTGGTCATTCTGTGATTTTTTTTTTCTTACCTGTTGTCGAATTTCTTCTTCCATTTTCACTGGTGAGCCTAATTCTGCAACTTGTTTGACACCTTCACTGGCATATCCGCCATACTCCCACAGCACGTAATTCTTGGAGTGGGATCCGCCAATGATCGCAGACCAGTGATTGGCCCGACCTGGGAAAGCCAATCAGGATGCAGTCATTAGTGTGGCTGTGGCTGAAACACGAGTTCCTCTAATGATGGGGAGCAGGTGTGATTGGAGAGTGATTCAACTAACACTGACTAAGCGTCTACTTTATCTTAGGTGCTGGGCCATTCAGTGGTAGGACTAAGTTCCTATAAACAAGTAAATCTTGGGGATGTGCAGACTTTTATGTACATTCCAGTGAGAGGGGCAGGCACAGCTGAATTTAAAGGATGGGATATGTGGTATTGGTATGTGGAAGTGGCCAGTCCGCAGTGATTTGGTGAGGATCGTATGGGATGGTGACTATAGTGGGATGCAGGAAGAAATTAATACCCAAGTGCCTGGGGAAATAGAATGAGATCTGGGTGGGACCAAGACAAAAACTGACTTGAGGATTTTATCAAAGTCCCCATGGAAGTTAGGAAGAAGGACCTGAAAGTCAGCATGGGCACCAGGCTGAGTTTGTTCTGGGTGTGATGAATACAGATGCATATACACATTTCTTATGGACTAATTATCTGTAGTTCATCATAGAGTTGGCTCAGTTCTCAGCCATTCTTTGATTGGTTTTACAAAATCTCAAGTTAAAGAACATTTTCAGACATAGCAAAAAGGAAAACTTGAACTGGGTGAACCCAAATGACACTTTCAGTTTCCTACCCTGTGGCTCAGAGAGGGCAGAACTTCACTTCACCCGACCACCTAAACAAATGATTCTGAACAGGGCCTGATCCTGTTTACACCTACCCCAGGCCCTACTACCCCAAGGCCCTCTGTTCTAGGGCCACATCAAGAACATTGACACAAAGCCAGGCTGCACCTCCTGGCCTGCCAAGCCCAGCCACACCCCACCTCAGGCAGGTGTCCCCGTGTGTGGTGGGTCTGCCCAAGCACTTGCTCATTATTTCTTCCCATCAGGAAATGCAGACTCCATGTTTATCTGTCATCCACCCAGAGAAGACAGTTAGAGATGCTGCCAGCCGTTGTGGCCTTGGGTTCACGACATGGACACAGAGAGACCAGCATTTATTGCTCCTCCTGCCCTGTTCCACCCAAACACTCCCTTGCTGTAGTCCTGTCCCATCTGCAGTTCTACACCTCAGAAGCTTAGCATATGCTGTTCCCTCTGTGCTATTCTCTTGCTTGGCTTGGCCAACTCTCCTTCCCTTTCTGACTAATTCCCCTCCCAAGACCACTGTAGTCTGACCTAGGCTCTTGTCACCTATTTCCCCACAGTGAAGACAATATTTATTATCACTGTGATGGTCTGTGATTCCACTGGACTATAAGCTCCTTGAGGAGTCTGCCCTTGGCACCACATGCCTGGAGCCTCGCATTGTGTCTGATGCACTATGAGTCCTCAGTGCGTGTTCCCACAGCATTTCATCCAAACAACCAAATGGGAAGCTGGTGGTGTGAGTGCTTGAAACAGAAGCACAGATTAGATTCAATGTGATTAAATTCAAATCTCAGTTCAGCAGGGTTCCTGATACCTGCTAGGCTAATGTACTCAGCTCTCCTGTATGCTGTTACAAAATGAAAAGCAACAACCAGTAAGGAAAGGCATTGGTCCTAGTGCCAGTAGACAGGGATTCAAATCCTAGCACGGCCACTTATTCACTGTGTAAACTTGATCAAATTCAATTACTTTCCCTGGGTCTTGTCTCCCTCCTTTGTAATTCAGGAATGATAATGCCAACCTTATCAACCTATTATGAAAATGAAACTGAATTATTTAAAAAATGAGACAATATATGTGAAATTACTCCTGGCTCACAATAGACACTCAATAATTATAGTTTCCTCCTTTCATGGTTTGTAGAGAGGCTACAAAAATGAGTGAAACATGAAACCTGCTTTTAATAAGAGATAAGAAATATGTACAATTTGCAATATGATAAGTAAGATAATGGGAATAAGGGGATTAGGAGATCGACCCAGATGGGTCTTTCAGGTTTATTTGTTCAACTTCCATTAACTGTGTGCCAAGCACAGTGGCAGGCCCTGGACGTGGAGAGGAATTGCACATGGTGCTTGCCTTGAAGGGACTCACAGTCTGGGGTTGGGAGAAACAGATGGAGAAGACGATTAATTACAATCCACCATGGTTAGGATTATTTATAGAACAAGAATGCAGAGCACAGGGGATGGAGTAGCGAACTCCAACTTCCCCAAATCCAAGGAACCAAAAAGCAAAGACGTGTGTGCAGAGGAGCAGACACCTTAAGAGTGGGATCTGTCTTTACGGTTTACTCCTAAGTAAAATTTAATCACACCAGTTCAAATTTCTAGCCAATACAGTTGTTAGTTCCTTTTTCAGCCTTGCAATGCAACACATTACTTCAAATTTTCAACACATTTGATGACATCAACCAAATAACAGATATGTAAGAGGCATTTGGCAAGGGGGAGAGGTAAGACCACGTCCTCCCTGGTAGGGAGGGCGGGATGGGATGTGGGGGTGGGGAGGAGCATGGACAAGGCGCTCACCACCTGTGGGAAAACAATTTGCAACAATAGAACATTGAAATGCATCAATGTCAAGTGAGCACCAGTCACTCAGGTGCAAAATGGCACAGGGCAGAAAGGCAGGTGACCAGGAATTAGCAGACACTTAGCTCTAGGCCTCCATCTGTGATCATGAATCAGGCATTCAGTCCCTTAGAGCCTCAGTTTCCCTTTTGAAAATAGGGTTAATAATTACTACATCGAACTGTCTCCCAGAGTTGTGCAAATTAATTTGCCTTCTTAGAAGGTTTGGTGAAAGCCATAAAGAATTACACAAAACAAAGTTCTCAGGTTTATTACAGAGAGAAAGCACTGCGGGGTTTTATAAGAGGAGGGTAAAATAAGGCAGGGGCAAGGAAGCTTGCCCGGTGGGAGGAGGGCTCCTGCAGATGTAGAGAAACAGGCAGATAGGGGAACAGAGTGCTTGGGCTCAGGGAGACTGGCAGGGCAGTCAGAGTGGGGGTTCTATTGCCAACATAGATAGGAGGATCACATGCTCTCCTCTGTGTAATCTTCCCTACGACCTTAATTTCATTTTATAGACCAGAAAACTGAAGCCCAGAGAGCTTCAGAAAACTGCCCAAGCTCATAGGGCGAGAGAGGGGCAAAACTGGGATTCAAACCCAGGTCTGTCTGACTCCAGAATACACACTCTTTTCCCGGCAGCCCACGGAGGTCAGGAAATGTTGGATGGAGAAGACGAAGGAATGAGAAGAAAAAGAACATCAGGGCCAGTTCATGGAGGGTGTTGATGCCCATTGTGGTAACGGGAATTGTGAAAGGGGGAATCACTAGGGAAGATTCCTTCTGGAAGAACAACATAGCCATATCTAACATGCGTGGAGCCTTTACTACGTGCCAGGCATGATGCCAAGGACTTGACCTATGTCATCCTAATAAACACTTAAAATTCTTTTGATACAGATGCTATTATAATTCCTATGTTCACACAAGGAAACTGAGACTTAGAGCAGGTCGGTTAATTGAAGGACACAGGAGCAGGTGAGTGAAGTCTCTAAGATTCAAAGTTGGGCCCGTCTGTGGCACAAACCAGCTCTTCTCTGCCATATCGTACCATCCCTCTGGCAGGACCTAACCAGTGATAAGAGGCGAGGATAACATTGCCTGCGGGAATTGTGTAGGGCCTGACTTGAGGCAGTGGCAGCGGGAACTGGCGTCAGGAGTAGGAGCCAATAAGGCAGAAGACTGGATAGTCTTTGGGAGACAGTTTGGTTAAGTAGTTAAAATTCTGGGGTTTTTCTTGATCTGGCCAACGTGTACGCTAGTCCCAGTTCTGAAGCTTTCTATCTCAAATGAGTCAGTTACTCACTCTTAACCGCAGTTTCTTCAACTATAAAGTGATATGGCCAGCCTCCTAGCATGGCCATATGTTACTGTACTCCATGAGACTGTACTCCATGAAATAAGGATGTTCTGAGACTGTACTGTTCTGAGACTGTACTCCATGAAATAAGGATGAGTGGCTGGCATACAAAATGGGCTTATTAAATATTAGTTAGTACAATTAAACAGGGCAGGGCAAACCCAGATAAATTTCTGGAAGGGCGGATAACCAGGGGAAATCTGATTGGGTGACCGTGTGCCAGTTTGATTTAGTACTAGTAGGTGGAGATGACATGAATGTCAGATACAAGGACGTGAATCTGAAAAAATGTCAGACAATCATCTAAGTGGGACTCAGTGGTCCAAGGTCTATGGAATGAGACAGTTAGTCAGACCTCAGTTACCTGGAACACAAGAACATTTACCTTTGGGCCCCACCATCCTCTAGGCAATGAGGGAGGAAAGAGAGAAAGAGAGAAGACCCAGGTGATTGGGGGTCCTGGGATCCTCAGGGAGGCTACTTCTGGGTCTTTGGTGAAACATTAGAGTCTCAGTCCTGGGGGGGCAGGAACAGAGAAGCAAAGACTATTGCCAACCCCTTTCGCTCTCAGCTCTTTGCTTCCACGTGCCCCTCCCTGCTTCAAGTGTCCTACTTGTATCTGGGTCTGGGTGTCTATTCTAGATAGCCTGGTGAGGCTTACATGGGACAGAGACAGGGAGGAAGCTGGGGTCAAGAAACAATCAGACATGTCAGTCTGAGATACTGATGGCCAACCCGGTGCATTTGCCCAAAAAGCCACTACACACAGATATCTTGGATAGATGTGTAATAACTTCCTTTCCGACAGCTTTTCTGTTGTCATCACTGCCATTTAAATTACCACTGTTCACAATGATGCCTACAAGGCCAGCACTGATTAGAGAAGAACCTTGTCTTGTCATTTTGTCAGGCGTTGAAGGAGACATGTTGTGTGCCACAGAGTCTCGTGGGTGTCCCGCACGCAGTGGGTATGATGGTGAACTTTATGTGTCAGTTTACTCAGCTACGGGGAAGCCAGACATTGGGTGTGTCTTTGAGGAGTTCTACATAAGATTAACATTTGAATCAACAGGTGAAAACAGATTGATCCCTCTA